CTTGAACTCACAGAGATCCGCCTGCCTCTGCCTCCCAAGTGCTGGGACTACAGGCGTGTGCCACCACCCTGGCTCTTAGCCCATCTTTTAATTGGGTCATTTGCTTTCTCAATTCTTTGTTTTTTTTGAGTTTTTTTTAATATATTCTGGATGTTAAACCTGTGTCAGATGTGTCACTGGTGAAGATTTTCTCTCATTCTGTCCATATTCTCTTCACTTCCTTGGTTGCTTCTTTTGATTGGAATTGACTTTTGTGTAAGGTGATAGATAGGGGTTTAGTTTCATTCTTCTACAAGTGGAGATCCAGTTTTGCCAGCACCATTTGCTGAACATGCTGTCTTTCCTCCAGTGAATGTTCTTGGCCCCTTTGTCAAATATCATCAGGAGGCTGAAATTGCATGTACTCATATTTGGGTCTTCAATTTTGTTCCACTGATCTATGGATCTATTTTTGTGCCAGTACCATGTTGCTTTTATGACTATGGCTCTGTAGTACCATTTAAAATCTGGTATAGTAATCCCTCCAACATTGCTCTTAAGTGCTCAGTGTTGCTTTGGCTATCCGAGATCTTTTGTGCTTCCATATGAATCTTAATATGGCTTTTTTCCAATTCTGTGAAAAATGTCATGGGGATTTTGATTGGCATTGTATTGAATCTATATATGACTCTTGGTAGGATGGTCATTTTCACAATATTAATACTTCCAATCCATGAGCATGGGAGGTCCTTCCATCTTCTGATGTCTTCCTCAATCTCTTTCTTTAAAGATTTAAAATTTTCATTGTAGAGGTTTTTGATGTCTTTGGTCAGGTTTATTCTGAGATATTTTATTTTTTGCAACTATTGTGAAGGGGAGTCTTTCCATGTACTCTTTCTCTGATTGCTTGTTATTGGTATATAGAAAGGCTACAGACTTTTGTAGATTAATTTTGTAACCTGACACTTTACTGAACATGTTAATAATTTCTAGGAGTTTTCTGGTGGAATTTTTGGGTCTCTTAGGTATAATATCATATCATCTGTAAAAAGGGATAATTTGATGTCTTCTTTACCAATTATTATCCCTTTAATTTCCTTCTCTTGTCTTATTGGTCTTGCAAGAGTTTCAAGCACTATGTGAAAGAGGAGTGAAGAAAATGGACAGCTTTGTCTGGTTCCTGATTTCAATGGGAATGCTTCCAGTTTTTCTCCATTTAGAATGATGTTGGCTGTGGGTTTGTTATATATGGCTTTAATTATGTTGAGGCATGTTCCCTCCAGTCTAATTCCCTCTAGGACTTTGAACATAAATGCATGTTGAATTTTGTCAAAGGCCTTCTCTGCATCTATTGAGACGACCATGTGGTTCTTGTCTTTGAGCCCATTTATATGATTTATGACGTTTATTGACTTATATATATATTGAACCATCCTTGCATCTCTGGAAAAAAGCCAACTTGATCATGGTGGATGATCTTTTTGATGTGTGTCTGTATGCAGTTTGCAAGTATTTTGTTGAGAATTTTTGCATCTATGTTCATTAAGGATATGGGTCTATACTTCTCTTTTTCGGTTGTATCTTGACCTGGCTTTGGTATTAGAGTGGTGCTGGCTTCATAGAAGGAATTTGGAAGTTCTCCCTCCATTTCTATTTTTTTGTATGGCACAGGTGCACTTAAATACATACAGGTAATACATTTATACACATAAAATAAAAACAAAATACTTTTTAAAACCAAACAAAAAAGGCAACTAATAAACACAAGAAGGGATTATGGAAATTCATAAATGGAAGCTAAAACCAATAAAAGTTAGATGAAGAACAGGATATTTACATAGTTTC